CACAAGCACATCATCGCCTTGTACACCAAGGACGAGTACTTCGCCATGCTGGCGGAGAACGAGGCCGAGCAGGAGGCCTGGTACCAGGCGATCAGCGAGCTCATGAGCCAGAGCAAGAGGGGCTTCCTGGAGCAGGAGGACCACGCTGATCAGCAGGTGGACGAGGACGATGAGCACTACGGGGCCGCCCTGAGGCCTGGCACCGTCTTCAAGGAGGTGTGGCAGGGGAACGTTAAACCCAAAGGGTTGGGACAAACGAAAAATCTTACCGGGGTGTATAGGTTGTGCCTCTCCAGCAAGGCCATCCACCTTGTCAAGCTCAACTCGGAGGTGCCCTCCGTCCACTTGCAGCTCATGAATATTCGCCGCTGCGGACACTCGGAGAATTTCTTCTTCATTGAAGTGGGCAGGTCTGCCTCCATTGGGCCTGGAGAACTCTGGATGCAAGTGGACGATTCGGTGGTTGCCCAGAATATGCACGAGACTTTTCTGGAGACCATGAAAGCTCTAAAGGCCTTTGCAGAGTTCCGGCCCCGAAGCAAGAGCCAGTCTTCAGGTGGTGGTAGCGGTACTAATCCCATCTCCTTCATCACCACTAGGAGGCACTTGGGCAACCTGCCCCCCAGCCAGACGGGCTTGCAGAGAAGATGTAGAACTGAGAGCGTTGCCGGAGGGACTCCTCCTACCACCAAAAGCAGCAACTCCTATCGCTTCAGAACATCCAGCGAAGGAGAAGGAACCATGACTAGACCTTTTAGGTCAGTGACTGGGAGTCTGATCCACCTGAATACTGCGAGGATGAATTTGGGCCGGCAAGAAGGGAGTGGAAGGTACGTGAGAGCCGCTTTCAGCTCATCTTATCACACCAGGTCTGCTTCGCTGCCCGTTTCTCATTTTCCCTCCACTACAAGTCCCATCAGCGTTTCTTCCAGTAGTGGCCATGGCTCTGCTTCGGACATGTTGACCAGGCCTTCTAGCTCATCTGTTTGCGGTTCCCCAAGCGATGGGGGATTTATCTCTTCTGATGAATATGGCTCCAGCCCTGGAGACTTCAGGTACTTCCGTGTCAGGAGTAACACACCGGATTCCCTGGGAAACACACCCCCTATTAGAGAGGAGAACTGTCTGAGCGAGTACATGTCCATGAGTAAGCAACAGGCGGATGATAGCTCAAGAGATGATTATATGGAGGCTGAAAAGTGTTTCAGGAAAAGAACTTACTCTCTAACAAAACCGACTTCTGTCGCAGTGCAGCAGAAGACGACACAAACTACAGCTTTGTTAGATGAGGATTCTGCAGGAAATCACGGACGATTGCTTTACCCTGAAACACCAAAATTGAAAGATAACCACGAATCGGAGTACAATGACGCTAACCTTGATTCCTTATGTAACCAAAGTAGGAGTAAAGCCAGGGATGATGGGTACATGCCAATGATGCCAGGAGTGGCATCTTCTCTATCCAGCAACAGCGATTATTTGCCAATGACTCCTAAAAGTATGTCTGTTCCAAAACAGATTAACAACTCATGGTCACCGTCTCAGGTTGACTCCAGAGGATATATGATGATGTTTCCAAAGGCTAGCTCTTCGCCTGTACGAAGTCCTTTAACTGGATTTATTTCTAAAGGAAGTAATGAGAAGATCATAAACAATGAATATATGGATATGTCACCTGGTAATTCAGCTCCAAAGCACCCCGGTGATTCGAATTATATTCACACCGCTTCTGTTCCCAAAGGTTTCAGTTCGTATTTTTCTTTGCCCCGAAGCTTTAAGGCGTTATCAGGACAAAACGGTGACCACAGTGAATATGTTCCAATGTCTTCACCTGGAAAACTCTTGTATGGTGGACCAGAAAATGTAAAAGGGGTCAACACTGAGGCTCTGGCTAATGGCATCTCTAAATCGCCAGTGGTGAAAGGCTCAGATGAAGGACTTGTGCAGAGCAGGGCTACTAGGCCTACGAGACTCCCCCTAGGCACAAGAGGGAGTAATACTATCCCCAGAATGTACGATCGTACGGTTCCACCTGAGCCAGCGAGTCCCGGTGAATACATAAATATTGATTTTAATGAAAAGGCGAGTAATACACCGTATTCCTTATCTGCAGAAGGATCGCCATCGTCTCTAGGCTCCAGTAGTGACCACAGACAGTCCCCGCTCTCTGATTATATGAGTGTTGACTTGGATGTACAGTCACCGAAAGTAGCGAAGGAACTGTCCAACTCCCTAACAGATATTTCAATTTATGCAAGTTCCAGTATTCCTAGAAACCAACCAAATCCTGACTACGCTAGGCTTTCATTTGGTACTGCTTGCGTTAGCACCGCAAGTAACAGGACTGATGACTACACGGAGATGACATTCAACATGGCAGCAACGCCACCTCGGCCATTTGCCGCCGAATCCGACGACGGTGTAAAGATCGATAGCCCTTCTTCCATAGTTAATAGGCTGTGCATTGTTGATCGATATGCTGGTAGCAGTAGCTTCTCTGTTCCGAGCTCTGAACCTCCTATGGGACCGAAAGTGATCCGAGCCGATCCTCAAGGCAGGAGGAGGCACAGTTCTGAAACGTTCTCTTCTGCTGGGACTGTGACCACCTCCTCCTCTTTCTTTACCGATAGTAGCAAAAGACACAGCTCTGCCTCATTTGACAATGTTTGGTTAAAACCAGATGAAAACATTTCTGACGGTCAGGAAAGCAAAATGTCCAGGGATACCTCAACTGGATTTCAGAATGGCTTAAACTACATCGCTCTGAATTTACGCGATGATCCTATAAGCTGTGAGGCAAGTACAACAGCGCCAACTTGCCACCTCCAAAATGGTACTTCAGGTTTGGACAGTGGAGCTTACGTGAGCATAGATTTCGGCAGATCCGATGGTCTGAAGTGTAACGCTGCGAGAAAAGGTTTGTAACTTTAAAAGCACTTTCCTTCCATGCTTGCTTAACTGTAGGAATTAGGTTCTCTACTTAAGACTAAAATGCGGTTTTCAGAGCGGGGTAAATGTTTTTTATAATCTTCTGTATTATTCTAGTATAACCAGTCTCGTCGTAGCGCAGCATCCTAACCGCAGAGGCGAAAGGGGACGTGGTCCTTGGCCTAAAGGATTTATGTGAGCCTTCTAGGCGGTTAGAGGTGTTACCAAACTGTCATCTGCCTCGGTTTTGTAAAAGAATTTCGCTAGTATAAACGTTAGTTGTATTACGTATTGTGAATTCTTGTCCTGAGGTTGTGGTAGCTCTTTTTTTCCTTGACTTTTGTTTCACTCTTACTCCCTTCTTATCACTAGATGACTCTTCACTTTTTTTTTTTTTTTGTGAACTTGATATTTTGTAATCTGTGTCATGGATGGGGAAAGCTGAAAATTGCTACAATTGGGTTTAGCCATAAACATTTGGGGCTTAGATCTGTTTCTTTCAGTAAATGTAGGTGAAGTGCGTGGTTTAGGGTTTTTCATGTGCAAGTCTGCCTGCATTTATTTAGTTGAATCTTATGTAAACAAGACTCAGGTTTTTTTTCCCCGTGAAGGTTTGGCGTGCTCCTTTTGAGCTCTGGCCTCCAAAATATCCTTGTGTCCTCTGGAGAAGCCATCTCCGGGGGGCTGACCAGGGCGGTGGGGGGCTCCTGCAGCCCATGCCCTCCACCTTCACCACCTCGGAGCCTCCGAGGGCTTAGCTGAGCCGTAACCCTTCCCCTGCTGTACAGAGGGATCTGCCTTTGCATAGCAGGTGAGGAATGCCTGGGACGGAGGAAGAGGAGGCTGAGCGGTGTCTTCCAGGTCTGAACCTTGGGAGAGAAGGCTGCTAGCTTTCAGGTGGTCTGACCAAGCTTAAGGTAATGCAGTTTGAGGTGTGCATAAAAAATAAGGGTGCTGGGGGTGGGGAGGGAGGATATGGGAAAGAGGAGGGACGCTCCTATTCAATATGTTAAGCTCTTTGCTCTCATGGTGGGAGGAAAAAACCAGTAATGAGCTGTTAGTGGTATTATGCATGTCCACTGGCTGAACAGCAGTGTTTGTGCAAGCGCTGCATTGCACTGTAACTTTGGAACCATAATCCCTGTTTTGGTGTTAGTGACCCACTGAACTCCTTACAGTAATTCACCTACCCAGATAAGAGCACTGTATGTGTTGGAAATGATGTTCTCCTCTCATTGCAAATGTATGCGTAGTCAATAATTGATGAGTACTAAGAGGAAATATTTAATCACTGTTGGACATTGATATTTGTCTACTTCTCTGTCAACAGAGAAAGCAGGAAAGGGGGAGGCTACTGCTGGCTTTTGTATTTTTAATTACAATCTTGTTGGTTTCTTTTTTTTTTTTTTCTAATTTCACTTTAAAACTAAGTGTCTAAAGGCAGAAGGTATTGCAGGAGCTTAAAATTGTGTAGCCTTTAATAGTGGAAGGTAAAAGCCTGACTCAGCTCGCATGCCATTCGAAGTCTGGCAGCGCTGCTTGGGGCTGCTCAGAAATCTGTGGTTTGCCTCAGTGGTTTTTTTCCTCTGCTTTGTTTTGTTGGTTGGAATCAAATTTAGAAGACGTTGAAAGCTGCCGGTCCAAGAAGTGCTTTTTTCCAAAGTTAGTCTTTCAGCACTTCAAAGATTTGTCTGCTGAGTCAAAGGCACACGGATTGCCGTAGCTGATTTGTGTTTGGTTGGGTTTTGTTGTTTTGTTTTTTTTTTTTTATTTTGAAAAAAGCACCCCTGAAGACAGCAAAATTCCTACTTGATCTTATTCCCCTCATGTAACTAAAATCTGTGTTATAAAGTAAAACTTCTTACAAAACGGAGAAAAAAGCCCAGAGATTATTTCCTTTCAGCTGTACTGTAAATATTACATTAAAAATATTTTTCAAGAGAGGATGTGTTTAGAAATTGGATTTATGTTAAACATTTTGCTTACTACCACTAGAGCAAAATACCTACAGCCCCGTGCTTGGGGTTTTTCCCTTGTCTATCACAAGTTGCGGAGGAGCAAGAACAGCTGCTGGGTTTTGCTGTGAATTGAAGTTTTTCTGGAAATGAAACATGCATTAAAATGAAGTGAAAGAAACTCTGTGCATAAAAACATGGGCATTGGCAGGAAGTTAAGCATGAGAATAGCAAGAGCTTAGGTTGGTGGTTTCTTTCTAGTCCTAAAAAAGAAAAGCAAAATTATAAAATGCTGCTCCAAAGCAAGGCCTAATGGTTTTCCATAAAGACAGCATAAAATATTTCGGGTCTATAGTAGGAGGGCAGGTGGTGTGTGGACATCGTTCACTTGTAGGTGGCTGATGGTGAACACGTTTTGGAATAGTCCAGGCTAAAAGTAGCTTGCCAAGCTTGCGTGCAGTGTTGTAAATTGGTGGTGTGCATCTGTTTAGTACTTAGTAATGACTTAAAAGTCTTGATTATAAAGATAGCAGTTTTCATTCACATACTAAATCGCGTCTTTGAGGTATAGCAAGCATCACTTTAGAAGTTTGGATTCTTTAAACAGCTTATTAGTTTCTACTGCAATAAAGCTTTTATTTTAATATTTAAAAAGTTTTTCTGTAATCCAGAAAAACATTTTCACATTCCATTTTGAAGAGAGAAGATAAAGCTTCACTCTTAAACCTCTTATATCCTGAAGAGGTGTAGTGTGCCTGTGTGTAACTGATATTTTTAATACTTTTGGAGACTTCTAGCAGAACTTGGTGCTGTCTTTTCTTTCCTTCTGCATCCCGCTCTTTCGGTCTCTTTGCCTGAAAATGCCTTGTGATTAAATCCATTCTTAAATTACGTGTTTACCCTTTACTTCCTAGGGAGGAGCTACCCCATAGTTATTAAATCCTATCAGGTAGAGAACTTTCTCTCTTCTCCCTAAGCTGCAGTTTTACTGGAAGGAAAACACTTCCCAACTTTGGCTTGTTTGCTTTTTTGTTTTGTTTTTCTTTGCTGAAATGGAATATTGTGTTCTGTGACTCAGCTGCGTTCTCCTAACTGCTGAGGGTGGCAGAGTGATTTCCAATGCATCGCTGCCCCCTCATTGTAATTCCCAAACTACTTCTGGTTCAGGTTCAGTGATGTGAATCAAACTTCCCCCCCCTTCTCCATTTATTATATGGATGGAGGAGGGGGAGGGCGCTAACCTGAAATGGTAAATAGGCCTGACTTGTTATTAAACTTTTATTTTAGGTTTAGGCAAAGCTGAGCTCAGGTTTTATGTTGGTGATGATGATAAAAAGGATATAAGGTTCTGATTTTTAATGCTGGAAGCTTAAGGAGGTCATTAGCAAAACAGTTTCATCACTGAATTGTTACACAATATTGAAGCAAGCGGTTTGCAGTTTTGATTACACGAATTTGAGTCATGAAATTTTGTGCTAGGAGTACAGAACGCTAAAGCGACTTCAAACAGGGCTTAGCTAATGTATACCTCGTTATTGGACCTTGTAGAAACTGAGGAGGATAATGAGAACAGGGCGGTAATAAACTGTATAATACAAGTTTCTTCAGACTTAATTAGAAATCTTAAACCTGCAAAGATACCCTGGACTCTAAAAGCAAAATAGACTGTTCAGAGTAAATGCAAGGTTCAGCTTAATATCAACCCACCTATTTTACACCCACTCTTTAATCTTATCTCTACCTGCTATTCTAACGCGATGCTGTTATTTCAGAAGTTCTCTAAAGTGCAGGATTATAGTTGAAATGTTCCTCACCTTTTTAATCTCCTCGTGTGCTAGACTGGGTGAGTGTGTTGTATATGCTTTGGGGAGCTGAGAGGGAGGAAAACAAGTAGAGCTGTAAAGCAAAACTTGTGTTCCAAATTGTCCAGCTCCTTTATGGTAACTTGCATACTTCAGATGCAAAGCCTTGAAGGATATAATGAACAATATACACTTTGAGACATTCAGAAGCTGGAAGTTTCAGCTATTACTAATATAGTAAATTACAGTTCATGGGATACCGGGCAAATAACTGCCCCTTTTGGGTTTCAGACTAGTGGTTTTTAAAAGTTTGCTTCAAACTGAGGCTCTTTTGTATTGGCAGAATTCTTAAGGCATGGGCCCATTTAAAAATAACTTGAAGAACCCTACTGAAGCACATCCGAACACTGCTGCGTATCCTACATCTTCGAAGTAAGGCTGGGATAATAATTCTTAAAAAGCCCCCAAAACAACCAAACCCCAACCATTTTAATCTTGCTTTAACAGATGCCACTTCAGCAGTCTTGAGTGACTTACAGCGAGGCTCAAAAATACCCGGAGTAACTTTCTCAAGTAGTACACGAGCTGCTGAAGGCAGAACAGATTTTTGCCGTGCAGCGTGGGAGTGAGCTAATTCTGACATATTTGACCAAGAATCAGTTGGGTTTTACTTGTGCTTGGGTGAGAAAAGCTGAGACAAGAACGTTCCCCAGCCATTGAGAGAGAACGTTTACTTGCAGTCAGTGTTGAAATACTTTTGGAAATATCAGTTTTCCAGACTTTAAATCCACAGTTGCAGCTGGTGGTCATACGTATCTTTTTTGGAAGTCTAAAACTTTCTGCTTGTAGCTGTCCTGTAGGTTAAAGCACTGCTGCAGGATGTGGGGACTCTGGAGGTAATGCGGTACTGATTCAAACTGCCTCTTTTTTTTTTTTTTTTTTTTTTTCTTTTTTAGTCTTTTTCTGAAATGTTAAATGCATTATTACCTAAAACTTCCCATTTTTCCCTCCTCCCCTGATGTCTGAGGGCCCGTTGTCCCCCCGTTGCATGGGGTGGCAGGTGGGAGCAGCCAAGGTGTGCGGCGCGGCCGCAGCCCTTCCAGCGGCCGCATCCCAGCCCAGGATTACTGGGGTGGTTTGTCACTCGGTATTTCTTAAGGGATTTTTGTATGTCCAGTGGCATGTTAGCAGTAGGTGGAGTTTGGGGTTGGTGTTTTTTTTTCCCCTCAATGTATGCTCTTTTTTTTAAATGAAAGGATCTTTAATAAGTTTTCTTCATATTGATTGCTGGGGGGAGAGTTTATACCTTGAGGTTTTGGATGGTACTAAAAAGAGCTTATAGTACCGTGCTGTACCTCGGTGTGTGTTTGCGTGCCGTTTGTGGATCTGCGGTGCTCCCAGAAACATGCTGAATGGTGTCCAGTATGTTGATTGCGCAAACAAGCTTGTTTTTCTGATCTGAAGCAGGAAACAAACTCTACAATTTTAAGTACTGTTGTGATCAAATGTGGCATTCTTCAGCCGAGAGGAAAATGAAGTGATAAAACTGAAAGGCAGGTGAGAGAGAGTCAGGCTTTCTGGAGCTTGGGGATGTATTATTACTGCTGTTTTGTCCTAAAAACGTAGCAGTATCTTATGACTCATCCGTAAATGGTATGTAATGACTTGGCTGGAGAGCTGTCTATGGCCCACCCTGCACATTTGCTGTTTGCCTTTTTTTTTTTTTTTTTTTTTTTTT